CCATCGGCGACAGCAGCTGAGGGCTTTCAGTTCCCAGAATGCTGGTAAATCTAGCTACCATTTGGAGATTAATATTCGGAATTTGCACTTATTAATGACTTGCATCTGGCTTTTAGTCTGTTTTTCTTAGCTTGTGCTAAATATACACAAAATTAACTTTTAGCAGGAAAAAAAAAAAAACTTGTTTGACAGGATGTACACAAATTTTCATTCAATAAAATTATCTTTAGAATGAAAAGGCCACTCCCTCTAAATTTTAAACACCACCTGATAGCAATAGCAAGTAGAAAATCATAATTTAGCCAGGCTGTGACGTGAACTAAAGCAGGGTTAACTAAAATTAAAACCATAAAAAAAAACTTGCTACTTAAAATAAAATAAACATTAACTAAAATTCAATAAAATATAAAAAACTTCAGGTAGCTTATTTCAGCTAGTTGCCAAAACAAAATGTATCATTTTCATTTAGTCTGATGTACTAAAATAACTCAAATTAGAGCTGTAATAAAAATTAATTAAAAAACTATATATTAAAAGAAAAAAAAAATGAAATGACAACAACAACACAACAAAATGATGGAAAATGTAAAAAAACCCCATTAAAAATATTAATAATATTAATAACATAAAATAACACAAAAATAACACAACGGCCATTAGCCATTTAAAAACAAGATTTTTAAACTCACACTGTAAGTACATCTATACTTTACAAAAAGTGATTCAGATTCGTTGTTCAGTTAAGCAAAGTGGTTTATTTAGACACAAATGAAGACCAGAGGCCATGAAAGAGGCTAATCATAGGTAGAAAAACCTGTGCATGTTTGTGTGTGTGTGTGTCATGAAGTAAGAATGAATTTGGGTTACAGGAGCTTCCTGTATTTCCTGATGTTTAAGTACAGCAGGCCGTTTCTCTGCACTGGAACTACATCATATGTTCTCCATTCATCACTGAGTCATCAGCTGAGCCTGAAGCCACACAAAATGCTGAGAATACACACGTACACACACACACACATCCACACACACACACACACACACACACACACACACACACACACACACACACACACACACACACACACACACATACACATACACATACACATACACAGAGCAGAAGACTTCCCTAATCCAAACACACGTGAACACACACTTCCCACATGCTAATTCTTGAGATGTGAGACAATATCTCGCAATAAAATACCAAAGTCAGGTTCAGGAAGCAAAAATCCCAATTCAGTTTGCATAACATAACATGAAACTTTCAAAAGAAACCTGCTATGAGCTCTTGAGGATAAACAGTAGTATTTCACTATTATTTCAGCTTTTTAAAAAATCATGTTTAATTGCCAAATTAGATTATTCGTTTTTTATTGTACATTATTTATTTGATTACTTTGAATTATTGCTTCAAATAGTATTTTACCTTTGTCTTTTTGTCTTTGATTTTCAAATACCTTTTTTCTTTGAAAATTCAAATCAAAGGTTGTAATACTGTCATTTGTATATCACAGCTGGTTAAAAAAAACTATTGTTTAATTCCAAAGAATTTCTGATTTCTGAAGTGTTTCATATATGCTGACATTTTGACGCAATATTGTATTTTTTATTAATTTTAAAGAAGCCAAATAATTTGGAAAATATTTGAAAGGGAAAAAGTTAAACATAAACAAAAATTAACATAAAAAGCTGTTTTATATTGTTGTATTACTAGTCATGAAAATAGCACCAGATTGTTCTTAAGATAAATGTATAAAGTTATTTGATTTACTATTAATTTTAAATAGATAAAATAAATAGATTTAAATAATGGCAATATCATTCACCACCCCTCAAACCATAACTCAATACTTCATATAGAGTAAAATATTGATTTTAAATAGAATTTAAATTCACATTAATAATAAAATGTACATGTTTAACAAAGATTCACAGTTGTGTCCCTACACTGTTTTATAAGAAAGCTTGCTGTTCAACCCCAGTAAAATAAAACCATACTAAAATAAATATGTAGGCTATGATAAAGTTGAAAAGATTAATATAAATAATTTCTTGGTATTAAGTTCTGTAGCCTGTTTCATTTCTGTAGCCTGTTTTGTCTCTAGATTCAGCATGTACAGAATATCACACACACACGCCACTAAATAATCATGTTCCTTATTCTCCACACTTCCTCCTGACATATTGAGATTTTTTGTTGGGTATGGCTGTGGCGTGTGTGTGCACATTACAATCTACTCTCATGCAAATACATGCAAAATAAAGCTCAAAATATTTAAACGTAAAGCAGGAATAGAGCATAAAGTCTAGTGCAGTGTACTTGATCTGCCAAAGCGCCCGAAAAACAGAGAAGGCGAGGAGAGAAAGAGGGTGCATATGCCACACCTCACTCATTCATAACGCAGCAGTTCTCCCACTGTCTGTAAAACATAATCACATGGTCTACGAGATTTACAACTCCAGAGTAAATCTTAGTTTGTTTCCACAACATATGTGCCGTCTGAACCATATATAGTCCAAACGCAACGCAAAAGCCACAGTGCGTGCAAGAGCAGCGCCGCGTCAAGAGCGCGTCTCCAAAATAACCAGCGCTCACTGAGCAATAGTAAACACGCGAGTGCTGGGCATGTCCGAGTCATTAAAGCGAATCGATTCCGTTCAACTGTTCATTCATTTAAAACGATTCAGTGATTGGTTTTAAAATAGGGTTATAATACGCGTACCAGACTTGCTTGCGTTTTTACGTTTATCACAAGTGCTGTTTTAAGATCAAGTCTGATCGTTAAAAATACAGATGTGACAATGTTCTTTGTATAATAGCCACTGCAGTTTTCAACTAAAGTCTCCCATACAAACAAGGAAATACGCATTTTACACAGTATCTTGTGCAAATCAGCGTTTAAAAAAAAATCATGATGAGACTACTATGACAATCAGACTAAAAAAAATATTTTGAACAAATGACAAAATCCTATTGACGTCCGACGCGAAACCCAAAATGACCTACATAGGCTACTCCGCTCAAACTGTCTGTATTTCCTCGATCCAACGTGTTGAACAGATTTTTCCAAATCCACACGTGCCATCTCATTTCAGATTGAAGAAGTCATGTGTTAATCTAGTAAACAAAGAAAAAATGGTCAATCTTTTGTTGGTTCTCCCGGTTAATCTTAATCCGATTCGAATCTCGCTCTTCGTCCGTCCGAACAACAGTGAGCGCACAATAGACATGAATCTAAACACTAAAAATAACAACCCTTGATCCTCTAAAAATGCTCCTTGTTGGCACACATGTCCAGTGAATGAACATGCAGAAGAACAACAGAGACAGCTGCACCCACCTCGTGGTTTGAAAGGACACCGGTGCGATCCAGCGATGGAGAGCCAGCACGGGATGAAGGGAGCAGGTGGATCCGGCTGATTCAGACGGGACGGACAGGTGCGGTATGATGTTTGGGAAGCGTGTCGGTGCTGGATGCTATCAGGATAGGGACCAGCTTAATCCTCCATCTGAAAGCAGACAGCCTCTCCTTGGCCACTCCACCCCTCCCTCAATCCCTTCCCAGTGAGGTCCGACTCGCAAATGAATCGTTGTTTTGAAACGGCTCTTTGTATTGATTCGGTTGAACCGACTCGCAACGCGTTTGTAAATCACTCTTCTTCTACTGGTTTGGGAGAACATCTGACAATTTGTGTGACTTAGTCGAAAACACAATTAAAACAGCAGTATTTCATTCGAAAACTAGAACAATGTATTAATAAACTAGAACATTTGCACTCGGAAAAGAAATAAAGAAATAAAATAATTTCCACACACAGAGAACAGCACTTTCAAGTAGCCTATGCCTATTATTATTACTATTATTATTATTTACTTTGAAGTTCAGGGACCGCCAACAATAAGCAAAAATTAGAATTTCCACTATATGGATGTAGGCTATGTATTAACATTGAGACGCAGAATAACAAACAAAAATATAAACACATTTTTTTTTTGTTAATCACTAGCTTGCCAATAGGTGTCAATATGAAGACTGGTAATGGGAGGAATAAGAGCCAGCTAAACGTTAACAAACACTTACGGAGTTCACGTGTTTAAAATAGACTTAAGCCATATGCTACAATCTGGATACTTGAATATTTCTGAATATTTCAGGTTATATGTGTTGTTTGAATGCAGCACAATATATATAGGTCGATATGGCTTATGAATTCATGCTCATTTGCTAAGTTGTTTTAAATCTAGCTATGTAGCCGCTACACGGTTGCTAATGTGTATTAGTGGTTGTTAGGGTTTTCTGAGAGGTTTATATGTAGTCACTTGACAAACTGTGACAAATTTGGTGGATGTAGCTTTAAAACGCTCATTTTTTGGTCGTCAATGTGTTAGTGATTTACCCTATAATTCTGTCACGCCATCATAACTAAATATTTACTTAATCACATAAAAAGAAAAACGTTCAGTTGCAGTTTCTGTAAACACTTCCATCATGTGGCGTCAAACGAATCGACTGATCATTTTTTCAACCGCTTGAAACGAACTGTTCGAACGAACCGATTCGCTCAAATGAATCAGACGTCTGCACGCTATCGTCCCTCAATCCGACGCCTTCTGTTGAATCTGTTCCTCTCTCTCTCTCAAAGCCGTCTGCCTCCCTGGGGTCCTCCAGCGAGGTCAGGCATAGTAGAAAAGAAGGAAATTAAACGACTTGAGTGAAAATTGGACAAAATTATAATTAACATAGATAGATAGATATTTGCACTATTGTTATTACCTACAAATACAGTTTGTCATGCCAATAAAACATACATTTTGATTAATCAATAAAGTCTCCTCTATCAAACAACTGTGTCAGTACGATATGAAATACTAATATTTCTTAATTCACATATTTCCAATTTAAACGATATCCTACATGCTTAATATCATTTCATTCATACTGCACATTGCTTATTTCATATTCGGGCTCCATCATAGGCTGTATAAAAACAGGTCTCCATACATGGGCAGTTGCTACAAGCCGGAAGTGCGTCGTCAGCGCACATGACCGGAACTCCGTCACATGATCAGTGTTTTCAAAGAAAACTTGTATCCATTCACCCGGACGTGGCTGAGATCCTGCGCTTTATTACTGTAAGTAAAAGATTTTATTACCCATTATATATCCATAACCATTATTCGACAACTTAAAAACGCAGCTGGTTGTAAATAAAGCAATAGAGGCTTTTATATCATTAATATAAGTTCTAAAGCAAACATATGCAGTGTTATGAGTATATATTGCCATACTGATTATATACTGTACATGCTATTCGATCATATTTATTAAATCAAATGTGCATCTTGGTTGTTTTGCTCCTCACTGGACTGGGCTTTGCTTGATCATCTGAATTGGTCAGTGTTGGTCAATAATGTATTGATCTGTCTTTATTTTTAGAGTCTTAAGGATTGCAGCGACCTGTTCTCAGTGAGAAGTCATGAGACTTGTGATTCTGGACGACTATGATCTGTCCAGCGAATGGGCTGCAAAGTACATCCGCAACCGGATCATCCAGTTCAAACCCAGCGCTGACCGCTACTTCACTTTAGGACTCCCAACAGGTAAACTAAAGGTTACCAATCAGATCCCAGTGCATAAAATCCAGTCATGCCCTATGCATGTTTTTATCTGGTTGAATATCTTCTTTTTCTCAGAAATATCTGGAAATTCAATACATCAGGAAGATTATGATTATTATATAAGTATATAGATCATTATATAATCTGATTATTTGCAGGTAGCACACCCCTCGGCTGTTATAGGAAGCTGATCGAATATCACAAGAATGGAGACCTGTCCTTCAAATTCGTGAAGACCTTTAACATGGATGAGTATGTGGGTGAGTGTGAACTGCACAGATCACTTCTCACGAGAAGTGCTGGGTATGCAAGATCTCCACAAACTCTGTCAAAACCGAACGAGAGCTGCCGACGCAGCAAGTCAGCAAAAAATAACGCATGGATAACGCATAAAACAATGTTAAAAAGCATTTACGCACTGCCCCTCTGTCCTCAATCCCTTTCTAGTCTAGTTCAGAAAACATTTATTAAACATTATAGTTGCGTTGTGACACGACTTTAGTTTCACGACTAAAACAAAGCATGTTTTCCATCAAATTCAGATCATAATGAATCTAGTTGGTGTACTTTTTTCATAATTCCCATTATTCTCAGTGGTGATTCTCATTAATTGAATGCAGTATCTATGACTGTGTTAGAGTAGAAAATAATGTAATAATTAAAGGCACCATCATAATTAATTTCTACATTTCTCTTCATCTTCAGGTCTGCCCAGGGATCATCCCGAGAGCTATCACTCCTACATGTGGAACAACTTCTTTAAACACATTGACATCGAACCCCAGAACACCCATATACTGGATGGCAATGCTAGCGACCTGCAGGCCGAGTGTGAAGCCTTTGAGCAGCAAATTACTGCTGCTGGTGGCATTGAGCTGTTTGTGGGAGGTGCATGCAATAAATCAGATCCCAATGAATTGTTTTTTCAGACACAGATTAATCGAGAGACACCAGTAACAGTGCTTTGTGATGCAAATCTTAATCTGTACACACAAAACTGGCTCTCGAAGCAGTTTAACTGTCAGTAATGCTTGTATGGTGATTGTACATTCAACTCCAAAATCAAAGGTCTGTTTGTTGGCCACAGGACTGATTCTTAAGCTTGCTGTTGTAATAATTGGCTATTGTAGTATTATTTATATACTATTGTAGTATATAATAATATTTTGAATTAGCATTTATTTTTACTAATTTTGTAATTTTTATACTTTTTAAAAATATTTCTATTTAGCTTTAATTTATTTTTATTTCAGTTTTAGTTTAACTTTTATAAGTATGTGTTTGTTTAATCTAATATTTATATTTTATGTGATTGCAGATTTATTTTAATTAATAAAATCAATTTTTTTTTTACATTTTTAATTAACAATAACAAAACAGCTCCAAATTATATAGGCTTTTGGCTGTTAGTTATATGACGACAACATACAGAGCAGAATGGTAATAACTTTTATGAATTTATTGGGGTAAAAAAAAAAAAAAAAGATGAATTCAGAAAAAAGTAATGAATTCAGTCAAAATATTTTTTTTACATTGTTTTTATGATAATTAAGCACATTTCAGCTCATTACTGTTTTTTCAGTGATTTGCATTACTTACTTTCATACCCAACTACTATTATATTCAGAATCATCGCATATTATCATCCATTAATCTGTTATTTCTCCTTTTTGTAACGCTTGATTTTTTTTTTTCAGGCATTGGTCCAGATGGGCACATCGCCTTTAATGAGCCCGGCTCCAGTCTTGTGTCCAGGACCAGAGTGAAGACCCTGGCCAAGGACACGATAGTAGCCAATGCTCGTTTCTTTGGGAACGATCTTTCCAAAGTGCCCACCATGACGCTCACCGTTGGAGTAGGAACAGTGATGGATGCCAGAGAGGTAAATTCAAAAATACAGGATATTCACATATTAAGAAGGAGACCATTCAGCTGAAAGAGAGATGATATTCTGTAGTATCATCTGGCATATAAGCCATAAAAGACACGGATATATTAATGAGGCACAGAATGGAAAACAAACTGATTGTTTGTCAAACTGATCATCTGCAAAGTTTAAAGCACCTCAAAAAAAAAAGGAAGTATATTTTGAGTGATTAAAATGGGAATGTTTTTGTCATCAATTTATCGCAATGCAAACATTTTACTTACCACATCAACATAAAATCTTAATACTTCCAAATATAAGACATCACATGAATCTGAGTGTACCTGAAGGTGGGTGTTTGTGGTTGAAACTGAACATAGAATGAACACAGTATCTTTTGTCCTTATCTTCAATAGCATCCTTTGTGATATCTTCCTTTTGTCCCAGTCAGACACACTTTTGTTTGGAGCATTTGTCATCTGCAATTGATTAAATATTATTATCTTTTATATAGTAACAAATGTTCTCATTGTTATAGCACTAAACTGAACATGTCTGGTTCTCAATGTGAGACTGATTGTGCTGGAAATACAAACAAGTACGTAAACATACCTGAATACTTTAACAGACAGGATGCTGGGTAAAATGTTCTTCGGGTCACATGATTTTGTTGATGTGGATGCCAGACATCACCTGATCGATCATATCATTAGACAGTGTGCATCTCCTAAAACATTTCCAAGTTGTATTGTACCAAGTTGTAAAGCATAATAATACTAACAAGAATTGAAAAAAAAAAAA